ATGTATGAACGATAGATCATGGGATCAACACACTTGCATGCATGTATGTGCAACCGGGCCATCTACAAACACACAAACCCAAAACACCTACAAACCCTTGCTATCAATTGTAAGCCTTGCTTCCTCTCGACCAAAGCTTTCGCCATGGTCCCATCGACCAAGCTCTTCCTCCTGCACCTCGGTCTGAACCGGATGGTCGCCGCGGCGCACAGCGGTTGCGGACCCCACTGCCCGACCCCGCCGCCACCGTCGACGACCAACGGCTCGTGCCCGATCGACACGCTGAAGCTGGGCGTGTGTGCCAACGTGCTGAACCTGCTAAAGCTCGGGCTCGGCATGCCGCCCAGCGAGCCCTGATGCCCTCTGCTGGCTGACCTAGACGCCATGGTGTGCCTCTGCACCACCATCAGCGCCAAGGTCCTCGGTGTCATCAACCTCAACGTCCATGTCGATGATGTATACACATGACATGCATGCACCTTCCTAAGTATATACTACTCCTTCAGTTTGTGTTTCAGTTCATCTATATGGCTCATGCATGTCTAAGTTCGGTGTCATGCATTCGCGTTATGCATGCATGCAGTGATCACTTCGAAAGTGTGTCATGTTGTGGTGTCCAAATAAATGACCCACGTAATCGGCGGTTTGTATCATCATGTGAAATACTGAACGGGCTATATGCCCCTAGCTTGTATCATCTGAAATATGTTTTTTTAGAACGAAGGCTCGCGATGAGCCCGGTTTTGAATTAACAAAGCTATCAACCGGCCAGGAATTACAACACAACAACAAGCACATCGGCCGAACGATACAAGGGAGCACCCTAGGAGGCTTACAAGTCAACGCAGAATACTAGCTCAAAACATAAAGAAGAGGAAGCCCAAGCTAGTACACGCCGCCGACGGCAGCAAACAAGAACCAAGAGTTGCGAGCAGCATGAGCACAACCAGGATCTGCAAAAACAGAGTGGAGTTGTGGACATGACTGAGTCCAAGGATGGAGCAATCCAAGCTTCTTCCTTCGCTCTCACCGTAGAGGGACCCTACCCTCTCGCCTTGGATCGAAAGGCGCTGCCGACGAACATGAGAGACCCTCACCCTAGAGCAGGAGAGATGCCGACCTCGAGTCCTGGAACAGGCACAAAGCACAACCGCCTAGGACATGAGCACACCTCACCTGACACACCGATGCAACCCAGGACACCTGAAAAACAGCGGGAAAGCCACCGGGAGGAGCCACTGAAGAACGAGCAGCAAGGACATCAGGAGAGGCTGCAGAACGACGAGGAGCAAGAGTTGTCGGCCGCTGAAGAGAAACATCGGGCGTCCTCGGCCAGGGACGAGCTGCTACTGCCGGGAAGAGGAACCCTATCCCCTACCGCCGGATCGCAGACGTGGTACCGCCGGAGCTGAGCCAAACACGCCACCGCCGAGGAGCACCACACTTGAGGGGAGCGGGGACAGATTTCCCTGTGAGCCAGACCAACCACAGCCACCTGATACCCAGATCCGCCCAAAACTCCACCTTTGCCGTCCCTCACCCGAACGCACGCTCCCCAGGCGGCGCCTCCAAGGAGGACACGACGCGCAGCGCGCCGTCACCGCCCAATCCAAGAAGGATTTTGGGCTTTCACCCGGGAGGGGAACGGGGGTGGATGGGGTTGGGACCTCAGCTGCACCTCCAAGGAGGAAGGGCGGCACCCAAGGGCGTCGCTGCTGCCGGGCCGGACCAGCCGACCAATGGTTTCCCACGATCCAAAACCACACCACCGGGCACCCATCCACACCGTTCCGGTGACCGAAGCTGCTGGAACCGGCGGGGATGAGGGAGCTGAAGGGAAGGGGAGTCGAACCTCATATCTGGCGAGGAGGGGGATCCCACACCGCAGCCACCGCCCGCCATCGTTCCACCACCCGCGTGGTCGGGAATGCCGGCCAGGACCACCCACAGACGCTGCCAGCCGGGAGGGCGCTGCCACCGCGCCAAGGGCCGCCCCCCAGATCCGGAGTCCTCCGCCGGCAACGGAGCGAGCAGGGCCTCGTCGCCACCGTCACCGGCGACCGCGCAGGCTTGCCGGCGGCCACCTCGGGTGGCCACGAGGGGGAAGAAGGTGAGGGGTGGCGGCGCTGGGCGGAAACCCTAGTCGCCTCCCGAGTCGCCCGAGCGGACGACGCAGGGGCTGCAGGGTAGAAGCGTGCGTCGTTGAAGTAGTGTTAACTCGATCTGTGTGTTATACATATTCTGCTGCGTCATAATCCACTCCTAAAACATATACTCCCTTTGTTCCATAATATAAAACCAGCATTCTTATGTTTAAAATCAAAGAGGCATATAACTTTTTGACAAGTCAAACCTCACAAACTAGGAAACATATTTACATCTGGAATGCCAAACATATATCATTAGATTCTTCATAAGATTTAGTTTCATATTTTATATATTTGGTATGGTAGATATAAATAGTTTCCTCTATAAACTTGCTCAAAGTTTGCAATCTTTGAGTTTTAGAAAATCTATACACACTATATTATGAAAGGGATGGAGTACATGCACCTAGATCAAAGTCAACTCTAAGATTTATATGGATCATAGGAAGAGAAAAACAAATAACTCGGATCAAGGGTGAATTAATTTAGTATTGGCAATAGCTTTATCGCCAATGACGTGCGGATATATGACAATGGAGCTGTAATACGACATCATGGAGCTGCGATCTTTCTATCGGCCGGGCAGTTCATCTTATATATCCTTACATGCAGTTACGGACCCAGAACTTCTCGAAGAATAGTAAATGTTTAGAGTTTCATTATTTTGCATCAAAGTCATTGCAAAAGAAGTGCAATCTGCTTATGTCTTGGTGCTATCTTAGGCAGGAGAGTGTTCTATTGTATCACATAGCGCGTTTTCCTTCTTGTGTATGGGTCAAACTGGTTTGTGCAATTCAAATTGCTAGATGAAGTGGGCCGAAAGTGAGCCTGAGTTGAGCTGACCACTTGGCCGGTTTTAGATGATGCGTTGGATTGCAATTTTATATTGGCCTCCACGACTTAGGCTGGGCATTCATTAATTATCTACAAAATAATATTGGTATACTTGCATGAATGCATGTAAAAAAATCATCATGGAAAATCCTACTCTAAAATCATTGTTATTTTTGTAATATATATAATTGTTGTGGCTACAAGGCATGAAGAAGTGATAAAATCCCAGTCTAATGTTGGAAGAAGATCGGAATGCATCCAAGGGGAGAAAACAAAGAGAATGTAAGTCTTGCAGATTTCCCCCGAGTAAAGTAAAAAGTCCTTTATTATCCTGGTTGTCTTGCGCAACCCCTTTCCCTGCTCAAACATGTTCGTTTAAAATTAGGTTGTTCTTTAGTTTCTACGACTTCATGTGAAGGATAGCGGATGTACTGCCCGAAGGGCGCAATATGTGTCTGATGTTGGGGTGCCATTTTTTGTGTTTTCCTTTGTCTTATTTTGTCCTTTTAAATATTTCTCTTTTTTTAAGTTTTACTTTCTTCACATTTAATTTGCATTTATGTTTACTTTGTTCATTTTCTGTGTTTTTTTGGAAAAACATGAATATATATTAATCGGCCACGTGCTCAGCTCAACTAAGGCTCACTTTCAAACTAACATTAACATCTGTTTCTGAAACATATTCAATAAAAAACATACTTTCCACAAATAAAATATTAGTAGATATGCTGCACTATTAAGCATTAAGTATCTGTCAAGGCTTCCCCAGGAAAAAAAATAGATCTGCCAAGGCGCAATGCCCACTATCCTTCTTCCTTCACATATAACGTTTAATAGGATGACTCATTCAGCCTTGCATACACTAGAAATTCATGAGCTACATATTCATCCTTGCATAAACTAGTAATTAATCAGTTTGCTACAGACTAAACGCAGTGTGGATCTTTGCATACAACAAATAGTACACTCAGTTATTTTACCTAGACTAGAAGCTCAACAACGTAATACAGCATTTCCGTGGATAGAGAGCATATGATTTCACTTTTAGTAAATCTCAAGTTGTCTAATACTTTAAGGTATTGATTACCTAAAATGGCATACTATTACCTAACATAAAAGCTTAGTACTGAGAGTGCGCGATTTTCCAGAAACTACGATAAGTGTAGGTGTTGATCCGAAGATTGAAAGACAAGTGAAATATAAATATATTATAGATAATTGAAAAATAGAAAATTAGTAATTTCTTCATGCGCACTTGTTCACACAGCGGCCTAGCTCTATCACATGAATATTGTAAGCTAGTTTTTTTTTTGCGGCGATATTGTAAACTAGCTACTACAGCAGTGTAATTCCCTTGTCAATATTGAAATTATTTGCCAGCACAACCACTACCCAAAGGGGACAATTAACTAATAATTAGACAGCTAGTTGTAGCGTATGTGTCCATGCCAACGAGCCAGTATATAATAAACCAAAGTACGAAACGTATACTAGACATCTCTGCGCTGGTAGTAGCTTGCATGTGCATGCATGGCCACATGTAATCTCCTATATTTTCCTCCCGTGACCCTGAAGATCAGGTTATGTGCCAGCTCGTAGCGCTGCCATGCATATATATTCCTTTGTCCTATCCTATGTATGCCCTCAAGATTACAGCTAAATTTGCAAACCCATCAAACATATCTCATGGCGCAGGTCTAAGGGTTTTGCTCGTTAGCAAACAAGTTAAGCTCCAATAATGGCACACTAGTGGTGGTATATATTTTTCGCAAATTACGGCAAGAGTCAAACTCGATATATCATGACGTGCTTGCACTTGTTGCACAAATGCACACTACATCCCGGCCTATAAATACCACCCCAAGCAACCAAAGAAAAGCATCACAAGCTAGCAAGCCCACCTAGCTCAGCCACAACCCAGTACACTCTTGCTGGCTACTTGTTTCATCAGCATAGCAATGGCGCCCTCCAAGGTCGCCCTCTTCCTCGCCCTGAACCTGGTCCTCATGGCAGCCGCGCATGGCTGCGGGTCGTACTGCGGCAACACACCGGCCATCCCAGTGCCAACCCCGCCGATGGCCATGCCCCCGCCCGTCATCCCAGTCCCAACCCCGCCGACGACCGGAGGCGGCAGCGGCCCCTGCTCGATCAACACGCTGAAGCTGAAGGCGTGCGCCAACGTACTGAACCTGCTAAAGCTCAACCTCGGCGTGCCGGCAAGCGAGGACTGCTGCCCCCTGCTGAGCGGGCTTGCCGACCTCGAAGCCGCCGTCTGTCTCTGCACCGCCATCAACGCCAACGTCCTCGGCATCAAGCTCAACGTCCCTGTCGACCTCGTGCTCCTCCTCAACCAGTGCGGCAAGACTTGCCCCGCCGACTTCACCTGCCCCAGCTGATCCACCCATCATCCATCGATCGATGCATCACAAACCATGCATCGTCGTGGTCACACTCGTCACTGGTTTGCATGTCATACGCATGCAGTTACATATTTTGTTTCCTCTTCCAGTTGGTCGTCATCACACTCGTCATTTATAAGATACTCTCGTTGATCACTGCATTTCGATATGATATCATCTAAATGCATGGTTTGCATATTTGTAAAATGATATACATACTTGTACACGTACGTGGAATAAAATGATTCAACTTGTGTTGACTGAACCCGTGATATATTGCCAGCTTGTATGCACATATTATTGCATGAATTATGATCAGATCCACGTCTTCTATCTGATCATGGCCTCTATTCTTTGCTTTTGCGAGCTACAACCGCAGCAACTCGCTTGGCATGGTTTTCTTTTTCTTAAGCTTAAGCAGAACCACAAAGAACCATGCATCTGCGAAACGGAACAATACTTTGGATAACGTAATCATGGGATCGATAAACTGAACTATAAATCTTTTGCGGGGTAAAGCGAGTAAAATTTATTTGAACCAGGTCTCTGTGATGTTGCAACACTTTGACCTAAATTTTGTCATTGTGATAATTTGAATCAAATTTTAACTTCACAATTTCACGCTAAACTAGAATAGGCTGACCAGATCGCTTTTGACAGTTGGGTCTTGTGCAATAGGTCAAGCTAAAACCGTTCATAGTGTCCATAAAGTAAAATTTGGCCCCGCAAACATCACAATACCTGTTTTAACTCCAAATGTGTTCTATAACACACATGAATGTAGTGTTCTATTGAAAGTCATTTAGCATCGTCTAGCTAGATAAATACCTGAAGGAAGAAGCAATTAACTGGTTGGAGTACCCATACATCTAAATTTATGAATAACTACCAATCATATGATCCAAATATATCGGTACATACGAATGCGTGTATTAAAAATATGCTTATTTATTTATTTATCTTGAGCATCATATATTTTTATTAGCATGTAATTTTTGGATCCTTTCGATGGGGATTACTAAGTTTGAAAGAAGGAAATTATGTAGAAAAATATCTCACGTAGCCCTTTTGGACGAAGTAACTATTATCCATGTAATAATTTCGAAGGACAATGTCTATCCTTTAAATTCATACGAAACTTATGTCAAGTACCAGACGAGATACCTTTTTGCCAAATCATATGCTCACATCGTTTGGAAGTAGATATCTTTTAGGAATGTGTATGGCCTTCAACGGACAATCTCAATAGTTGTTTTTCATATGAATATGTTAATCAAGGTTTACAGATCGCGATATTAAAAAAATTACAAAAAATCTCATGATAGCATTTTCATTATACAACATTAACATTTCCCATGCATATTGTGTTTTAAAGTTGTTCATTTTTTAATTATAGAACTCTTATGTATTTATAAGTTTTACTGGTTTGTAATTATAGAAATAAAAATATTGGAGAAAAATAACTACAATATATACTGACTCCAGCCCCTTAATTGGGGTCCTCTCTTACACAATATCCTCGGTACATAAGAGATACATGACAAAAATAGAGGAAATTTTTACGGTACAAATTACTACAGAATTTATTGTGTAGTACTCCCTCTGTTCCAAAATAGATGACCCAACTTTGTAGTAACTTTGTACTAAAGTAAGTACAAAGTTGAGTCATCTATTTTGAAACGGAGGGAGTAGTATTAAATTGATCTGTTTTTTTTTTGAAAAGGAGGTTAAAGTTCCCGGACTCTGCATCAATCGATGCATGCATCCCTCTTTATTAATTATTCAACCAGGCCTGACAAAAACTTACATCAAGCCACCCGGCGCCACCACTCACACCTACAAACTCGACAATGTGGGGTGCTCTGACTCCCCATATCTAAAATCAGTGTCATCATTGATCCATCCACATAACGTATCAGAACCTACATCCGGTGCAGCAATTCTAAAGCGTACATGACACATACGGTTTAGAAGGCGCCATCATCATCGTCCCGTTGACCCATCTTCGAGAAAGAGATCCACATCATGCTTGCCAGTCCGGCCACCCGTCAACGCCACCACGGCGCCCAACGGCACCACCTCCCTGTGCGTGAAACGCCAAGCGCATCGCGGTCGCCACCGGTACACCTCAGCACCATGCTGCCAAGTACCACCAGCCGACACAGCTTGAAGTCTCTGTAAGATCTATCGTGCGTAGCACTTACCGAACAGGCATGACAAAGCATAGCACCTATCGACCAGGCTTGGCATGACATCTCCACCAAGGCTTCGTGCAAGACGAAGCCACTCCTCTGCATGCCTCTGTCTTCCAGTGCTGCTCCACAAACGATGCTCCATCAAGAGAAACCACACCACAGTGCCGCCATCGTCCAATCTGAAAGACCAGATCCAAGGGTTTCCCCCGGAGCAACACGAGTGGGTTGACAGTAGTTACCCCAATGATGCCTTCATTAAGGTAACGACACAGAATGCCGCCATCGGCTCGGTTTTCACCGGCAACTATTCTCCCCGACTCGCAGCTGGAACTAGATGACGGATCCCGAGATCCGAACACCCAGCCTCAGACTGACCACCTCTGATGAAAGAGATGACAACCACCACCGGCTGCACTGGCCAGACCAGATCTGACCGGTGGTGCCGCCACCGAGACCACCAGGCCCTCCATGCCAGCGCCCCTGATCCGAGTGCAGATTGCGCGCCACCGCTGCCAAGCCAGCCACCACTGCCGACTACAGCCACCGTTGCCGCCTGAAAGGGCCTGCCCCTGCGCCCGCCGCCCTATAGCCGCCGTCTGAGGGAGGGTCAGCCATTGCCGCCGCCTGCTCCAGCCATCTCCGGGGCGTCGCAAAAACTGGATCGCCCGCGCCACCTCACGCCTAGGAGCGTTGCACCACCCCTGAGACGCAGGAGAGAGGAAATCCTCCGCCACCCCCGGCGGCTAGGTTTGTTGGGTGTTGCCCGAGTCGCCTAACGGGGGCGACGCGGGGGCAGATCAATATAAGAAATTCATGCCTAATGAACACGTGGAAGGTCATTAAATTGGGGGAGAATTTCACTTCCCTGGCCTCTGCAACAACTAGGGATGCATACAACCCTTGAAGTTTGAGTATTTGGATTTTTAATCTTGCACGATGGTGTCTCCCCAGTAGCCCAGCACCCGACACTAAACATGCCTTGACAGACCTTTGCCGCTATACCCATGTGTTTGCTCTCCTAGGCCTATGCCGCCACCGCAGTCCGCCAGATTCGGCCATAGCCCGTGTGCCCCTCCGCCCCTGTCGTCAGCATCCATTGCGGAGGCCGTGCACGACAACTAGTCGGTCAAATGCCAAAACGAAATTACTTGGCATTGTATTTTTTTTTCTTTGACTCAAACACAATGGATTCTGATGAGGTGTACTTCTAGGTTGAATTCAAGGATTTTCCTTTACTAGATGAGGAAGATGGGTATCAAACGGAGGCGATGATGGCGATTCTTGAAGAAATAAAGCGTGCGGAGGAGCATGTTCTCAACTTCATGTTGGGATATTAAGCGCTGAATCGGCGCTAGTCATATGGGCATGTTGATCTGTATGAAGACGACTTTGCCCCTGATGCGCTATTCTAACACGTCTGGAGACCAAGATTGCATGCACTTAAAATGGAAGAACTGCACATATACTCAACAAAGGAAATACTAGGGCCATCATAAAGTTCCCACCGTCATTATTGAAGCATTTGCATCAAAAGATTTTGGGATTTGACACTCTTTGCATGGCATGCCAGGGTCTCACAAGTCACAGTGACATCAACGTGTTGCAGCGCTCTCCATTGCTTGCAAGGTTTTGTGCAGGCTAAGATTCTACATGTGGGGAGTGGGGGAGGTTAAAGGAAAGAAGGCATAGCTTGCTTCCTTCCAAAAACTATGGGAGGCATGGGTTTTAGAGACATGAGAACTTATAATCAGGCTCTTCTAGCCAAGCAAGCGTGCACATTCCAGAATCTGGATAGTCTTGTGGCACGACTACTGATGGAGAAGTAGTACCTCAATGATAACTTGGGTGATACCGTTTTTACAGGGAATGTGTCAGTTGTATGGCACTAGTGCCAGCTGGGGCACTAGGCCTTGGCCTTCATGTACATCCCATTGCGCCAGGAAATGACGACTACAATGCTAGGCCATGAGTCTATCTGCTCCTGGGGCTCTCCTACTGCAAATACTAAAAACTTCTTATTTTGAGACATAACTTGTGCTCGCCTATGAAGATCGACATGGTGGACTGGCCAAATAATTGTGTTAGTTAGAGGTTTTGTGGTTTTTTGAAGCATCTATGGACCGGTTCATGAAACCTTCTATCATTTTTTTCAGTTTTGGGAAGATTCCACGATGTTTTTCCCTTTTCCATATTTCTTTATCAGTTTTTCTTTTGACATCAAAAAAATACATGTCTAATTTTTTTTTTACTACACATTGAACTGTTTCAGTATACATGATGATCTTTTTTTTTGGATACACATTGAATTTTTTAAATACATGATGAACATTTATTCGAAATGCCAAATACATGTTGAACATTTTTCTATACAAAAACCAGTGTCGGCCTGGATACGTGTCCACACCAACGACTATGCATGTATAAGCTAAAGCTAGCTATGGAAAATTTGTAGTTGACTTATCCTGCTCTCCAATGAATATGCATCTTCTATACGTGCCCATGCATGGTATCAAACTAAGTAGCAACTACAGCA